ACTGCAGGGATCTCTTTGCCAGTGCTGAGGCAGGAACCCATGCTTGGATCTGGGTCACAGTTCTGGGTTGCAGTCCTGGGGTGAGGAGGAGTGCTGGTGTGGTGGAGCTTGTAGTGGCAGTAGAGAGGAAACCCTCCTCACAGTTACAGGACAGAAAGGAGTACTTGTGGTAACAGGCCAGGAAAGGAGTAAACACCTTGCCCCTTATCATACCACGTTGGAAGAAATGAAAATTTACAGGTCCCTACAAGTATCTCTGAAAACAGCTGTACAAACCCCAAGCTTGGGACAGTACATCTCCACATTGGAAGCAGACTCTTACCTTAACAAAGAGTTTAAAACTCAAGTAATTGGCTGGGATCATGAGCAAGCAGTGCAAAAAGAGTCAGACTATATTATCTTACTTTGGTGACAAAGAAGATCAAAATACAACCAGAAGAAGACAACAAAGTCAAAGCTCCTACATCCAAAGCCTCCAAGAAAAATATGAATCAGTCCCAGGCCTTGGAAGAGCTCAAAAGGGATTCTGAGAAGCAAGTAAGAGAAGTAGAGAAAAAACTGGGAAGAGAAATGAGAGTGATGCAAGAAAATCATGAAAGACAAGTCAACAGCTTGCTAAAGGAGACCCAGAAAAATACTGAAGAAAATAACACCTTAAAAAATAGCCTAACCCAAATGGCAAAACAGGCCCAAAAAGCCAATGAGGAGAAGAATGCCCTAAAAAAAAATTGGCCAAATGGAAAAGGAAGTCCAAAAGATTACTGAAGAAAATACTTCCTTAAAAATTAGAATAGAGCAATTGGAAGCTAGTGACTTTATGAGAAATCAAGACACTGTAAAACAAATCCAAAAGAATGAAAAATTAGAAAACAATGTGAAATATCTCATTGGAAAAACAACTGACCTGGAAAATAGATCCAGGAGAGAGAATTTAAAAATTATTGGACTATCTGAAAGCCATGATCAAAAAAAGAGCCTAGACATCATCTTTCAAGAAATTATCAAGGAAAACTGCCCTGATATTTTAGAACCAGAGGGCAAAATAGAAATGGAAAGAATCCACGATCTCCTCCTGAAAGAGATCCCCAAAGGAAAACTCCTAGGAATATTGTAGCCAAATTCCAGAGTTCCCAGGTCAAGGAGAAAATATTGCAAGCAGCCAGAAAGAAACAATTCAAGTATTGTGAAAACACAATCAGGATAAACCAAGATTTAGCAGCTTCTACACTAAGGGACCGGGAATATAATATTCCAGAGGGCAAAGGAGATAGGATTACAACCAAGAATCACCACCCAGCAAAACTGAGTATAATCCTTCAGGGGAAAAAATAGTCATTCAGTGAAATAGGGGACTTTCAAGCATTCTTGATGAAAAGACCAGAGCTGAATAGAAAATTTGACTTTCAAATACAAGACTCAAGTGAAACATGAAGAGGTAAACAGGAAAGATAAATCATAAGAGACTTATTAAGGTTGAACTGTTTACATTCCTGCATGGAAAGATGATATTTGTTTGTAACTCATGAGACCTTTCTCAGTATTAGGGTAGCTGGAGGAAAAAAATTGTATGTATGTATATAGATAGATAGATAGATAGATAATAGATAGATAGATATAGAAGATAGATAGGGGGGTGAGTTGAAGATTGAAGGTATCTGGAGAATAAAATTAAGGGGTGAGAGAGGATTATACTGGGAGAAGTAGAATGGGGCAAATTATCTCACATGAAACAGATAAGAAAAGGCTTTTACCATGGAGAGGAAATGGGGGAAGGTGAGAAGGAATGAGTGAATCTTATTCGCATCAGATTTGGCTTAAGAAGGGAATAACACACACACTCAATTGGGTATGGAAATCTATCTTACCCTACAGGAAAATAGAGGGGAAAGGGATAAGAGGGCAGGGGGATGATAGAGGGGAGAGCATAATCAGAAACAAACACTTCTAAGGAAGGACAGGGTCAAAAGAGAAAATAGAATAAATGGGGGATGGGATAGGATGAAGGCAAATATACTTAGTTTTTCACAACATGACCACTATGGAAGTATTTTGCATGACTACATATGTATATCCTGTAACGAGTTGTTTGCCTTTTCAATGAGGGTGGGTGGGGAGGGAGGAAGTGAGAAAATTTGGAACCCAAAGTTTTAAAAACATGTTAAAAAATTGTTTTCACCTGCAACTGGGAAACAAGAAATACAGGAAATGGGGTATAGAAATCTATCCTTGCCCACCCTACAAGAAAATAGAAGGGGAAGGGGATAAGAGAAGGGGGGGCAGATAGAAGGGAGGGCAGATTAGGGGAAGGGGTATATAGAATGCATGCCATCTTGGAGTGGGGGAGGAATGATAATGGGGAGAACATTTGGAACTCAGAATCTTGTGGAAGTGAATGTTGAAAAGTAAAAATAAATTTATATATTAAAAAAAAAACTGGGCAGATTCCCTAACAATCTTGCAGGCTTCTACTGGCATCAGAATTGCTCCTTGACTGGAAAAAAAAAAAGAAAAAGAACCTCATGGATTTACAATTTTTTTTTTAAGGTAACTGAGGTTAAGTGACTTGCCCAGGGTCACACAGCTAGTAAGTGTCAAGTGTTTGGTCTGAGGTCGGATTTGACTTCAGGTCCTCCTGACTTCAAGGGCAGTGCTATCCACTGTGCCACCTAACTGCCCCATGGATTTAAAATTATATGATGCAATCTTGCCTAACAACTGACTTAAGGATTATAAACTATTTTACCTCCCTAAAAAATCTGTACTAATGAGCTAACAGCATCCATTTTACTGGACATTTGTCTTTCATTTCACTTATAAATCAAGACTAATAACATGTGCTTTGCAATACCTCTCAGAAAAAATAAAAAACAAAAACAAAAACAGTGGTTCTCCTTAGAGACTAGACAGTCAATTTTATATTAGCTCACAAACCATTGTTTCTAACTAAGCCTTCTTACTTTCAGGGGAAGGAAATGTGCCCAGACATTTTGAAAGGAAATAAATATTCATCTGCAATTGTAAGGCTTAGTGATAGCTAATCGTAGCAACTCTCAAAAGAACATTCTTAACACCTCTAAAACTTTTCAAATACAAAATTAGCCAAATACAACATCAAAAAGCTACTAAATAGTACTGTAGACATTTTGTCCTTTGGGACACAAAAGGATGTGTTAATATTATAAAGAAATCTGGAAGGACTTCAGAACTTTTAGAATGGAAAGCATGAGAAATGTCTTGAGTTATAAAAAAATGCTAGTTTGCACATAACTAACAGACAGTTATAAGCATGCACAAGGAAACACAAATATAAATCAGCTATATTTTTCTGAATTTTTAAAAACTTAAATGTATGATTTTGAATTTAATGGGATAAAGTAAAATTTTCATACTTTATAGTAGATGTTCATTCTAATATCTGAAAACATATTATGTGTAGGACACTGAAGAATTCAAAGACAGATTCCTTACCTACAAGGTGCTTATAGACCACTGGGAGAAGAAGGGTTTTCATTTTATGTGGATAATGATGCATAAACTAACAACTGTAAATCCTTTTGAGGTTAAATAAGTTATTTTTCATCTCTCCCACTATGAAAGGAGGAGCACAAATCAAACAGATTCGGGTTACCTAGAGATTACTCCTCATTCCCACATGCTAACTACTCATAATACCATGCCAATGCTCTCTGAATGTAGACTCCATTACAGGAGAGTGCTGGGTGTTCCATGTTTTCACCAGGTAGACTAAACTCTAATGATGCTACTGGGCTGTCAAAAGGAAGAAGACTTACAGCTGTTCTGTTTGGCCACAACAAGGCAGAAATAGAAACAACAGATTGAAATTAAAGAGAAGAAGAAAGAATTTAGGTTGATTGTAAAAGAAAACATTCCTAATAATTAGAACCATCTCAAAGTGACATGGGCTGTCTCAGAGCAAAGGCTCTTGTCCACTTTTTAACGACTTCATAGAGGTGATTCCTGTTTAGATATAGGTTGAATTAGATGGTTTTTGAAGTCTGTTTCAATTCTAGCACTCTGTGGTTACAATAGTATTTGCATAATTTTCTGATCAAATTTCTAAGAAAATATATTCCTGAGCATTCAGCCTTGTACTTTTAAGACTTATAGTATCTCCATACAGCAAAATGAACCAGAAGATTTATACTCCGTGGTTTAAGGTGGTGGAAAAAGCATTAGACAAAAGTTAAAAGCCCTAGGTTCAAGTTAAGGCTCTATCTGTCACCTGCCACGTGACCTTGGATTTTACTTTCTATGTGCCTCGGTTTCATCTTTATGAAATAAAGGTGGTGGCCTAGAATATTTCCCAGGGTCTTTCCTTCTAGTTCTAAGTCTGTTATCTCAAAAAGTGTTATTCTTACATCAAATGCCTTTCCCCCAGTGCTAATTGCAAAGGATCCAGGGACGGAAATGACTTTGGAGCTCATTTAATCCAACTTTCTCATTTTACTGAAGAGGAAACAAGCCTAAATGATTTAAGTGCCTTGCCCAAGATTACACATGTAGGCACATGTGAGATTCAAATGTTAATTTTTGGCTCCAAATCCATTGCTCTTTTCAGTATATAGCACTATTCCTTCAGTCTTAAAGTAATAGAACTGAACCTCTCCTTGTCACAAGATCCATAATCATTGTCCCCAAAGGTTGGGAGTATCTGTTATTCAAATGACATAATGGAGTTTAAAATACTCACAAAAGCAACACTGCAAGGATCTGTGATTTCACCAATGTAGGTGACTTCCTCCACTGATATATCACTAATGCATTACATTGGCTCAGACCTCTGTAACTTAATAAATGGCCTCTCAAAGCTAAGAGCAACATAAAAATATATGGCTGAAAAACTCATCTCTGTGACTCCATGCTGCTACTGACCCATCTTTGCACTTGGCAAGGATGGTCCATAGACAAGACATCGCTAGGCCCATAACACAAAAAAGCACTATTAAAAATGCAGTTATTACAATCTGTAATCAACTCACCTGAAGCTGAAGGAAGCTGATCATAGTCTTGGGATGTCCTGTTCGTTTTGACATTTTCACTTGTTAATCTCCGAACAGGAGGCATAGGTACTAAGCCATTTGCTGAATCAAAAAACGGATCTTAAAAATAAATACAATATTTCAATTAAAAATAATGGAAATATTCATTTTGTTTACTAACCCCACTTCCTCCCTCCAAGTCACCAAAAGTCTATTGCCTCTTCTTTTTTTTTTAAACCAATTAGTACAGGCTTGAAAACCTGTAAGAAAACTAATTTAGGAACACTAATAAAACTATTATCTAAGCTTTCAGTATAATCTCAGACTCATTCTTCCCTCAGGAGATATTCTCAATATTGACTATTGATGGGATATACTTAATCTCTATTAATTAGCCATAAGATCCATGAGAGTAGGAATGTAACTTTAAAAATCTAGCACTATAACTTAGTATTGAGCTTCAAAGCCTTGGTGATAGGCTCAGGTTCCCAGATACTTACATATAAAGCTAATTTTACAACTTTAGAAACCTTGCCACTATTCCTGCAAAGTTTTGAATATACTATAAAATCTGATTCTGTCTAACTTTGGTGGTTAGTGTTGGGGGCAAGAGGAGAAGGAAGGCCAGTTCGAACTACTTTAAATTGGAGATTCTAGATTTCATTAATTTTTAGTGGAGGCAAAGATCTCAGAAGTGATACAATTCAATCCTCTCATTTTACCAAGGAGGGAAATAATAAGCAGGGAGGCAAACTGCTTTACTCAAAATCTTAGTCATCTGCAGAAGGATATTAGAACCCAGGCATTCTGATTCCAAGCTCAGGGATCCACCTACCATACCATTCTGCCTCTCACTTTTATTACTTTCAACTATGTACAGAAACTGGAACCAACAATTAACAATGTATTTTCAAGGACAAGTTCTGTCAAGATCAGCTTGAATACAGAACACTTGAGCTTCTGTGAAGTCTCTGTAACCTAAGAACATCTAAATTCATTCATTCTCAGGCTATCTTGTTGAAAATGAAAACATCAGTTACATCGTATATAAGCCTTTTCTATTTATGAAGTTTGAGCTCCCACCCCATGTACTTTTATGTTCTGCTATCAACTATATACAACTGAAAGAGGAGTGAGAAAAGAAGAGAAAGATGAGTTTTCTGTTTAAATGCACCACCAATTTTCTATCTTTGGACAAAGTACTAAATAAAAGCATTGCCTGTTTTAATCTGAAGAGCTAGGAGTCATGTAAATAAACAAATTAGGACACAGTACTTTCAAATTCCCATCTGCCCAAATATTTAAAGTGTTGTTCTAGAACTTTGAAACAATTTAATAAAAGGCATGTCGTCATAAAAACTATGAGGGTTCATTTTTAGGTATTCTTCCAATATGTGGTTGGCTCAATGACAGACCACCATAAACAGATTTATTAAAAATGATTTTTTCAGTGCTCCAATGTTCTTGGATTTAGTATATTTTACTGTGTTAACAGGAATAGTTATACTGTTATAAATATTTATTTATTCAGACTTAAGGAAAAATGTGTTCAGGACAAAGTCTTTGACAATATATATAAATGTCCAATTAAAATCCTTTACTTAGGGGGCAGCTAGATGGCACAGTAGATAGAGCACTGGCCCTGAAATCAGGAGGACCTGAGTTCAAATCTGGCCTCAGAACAAACACTTGACACTTCATACCTGTGTGACCCTAGGCAAGTCACTTAACCCCCATTGCCTAAAAAATAAAACAGATCCTTTATTTACACATCATTAGATACCACCAGAAATCCCTACAATTGGTAATAATGTTCATTTACTCCCACCACTCAATTTTACTACATGTCAATTCAAAACCCACATCTAGAAGCAATGGCTGCTTTGCATCTTGCTAAGGCAGGAGCTACACACATGCCTAGCAAACTGAGCCTTGTGCTGGAGGAGTATATGCTATTGCCCGGTACTTAGTATTCAGGCCTTAAAGGAGAACAGATATATGACTTAATTAACTGCCAGCTAATAACAAGACCTTACCTTATATAGTGCTGAAATTTACAAGGCAACTATTTCGCATGTATCTTCTTGTTTGACTTTGTAATATTATGTGTATTATTATCCTTATTTTATAAATAAGGAAACTGAGGCTCCAAGGGGGATAAGCCTTTCTAGGCCACAGAAATAGTTAAGGGGTAGAGGTGGGATTCAAATCCAGGTTATGTTGACTCTATGTATAGAACTCTTTCTACCATATTGTATGACCCCACTGATATGGAACGGCTGAAAGACAGCAAGGATTAATAAAATCTATCTTCTAATTTACAGTCTGGAGGTAAAACAAAATCGAGACAATTACCATCTTTGACACAATGTGGTAGATATGGCAGACACTTAAATGCTTATTGAACAGATTATTATATCAAAAAATGAATTTAATAATATGGAAAGCAATTTATATAGATACTAAAGCTGTTTATTTCCTCTAAATCACAATAAAATATTTAATTTCTTAGGGACAGTATAAGGAATAAGAGGACATTTGGTAAAAATAAAAGATCCATAAAGAAATGACGTTTATAAATAACTGACCCTTTCAAGGTTCATTTTCTACACTAGGTAGAAGTTATAAGGCTTTTTAGATGAAGTTCTCAAAACACTCCTGCAATAGATGGGTTGTTATTTCAAGGAGCATATGTCTATGTTACTTTACAATGTCCTAGTGGAAGATTTCCATGAGAGAATAATAGGATGCAACGTAAGACAGGTAGCTAGGGATCAGGTTTTGGATGGTCTCAAATCCCAGGAAAGCACTCCTGAGTTTGCTTCTTATGTTTATGCTTTCTCATGGGCCTACTCTATTCTGTCTCTCTAGACTAGCTTTAAATCCAGTTCTCAATCTGTAATCCTATGAAACTGAATAAGGCAAAATAATTACCCTAGACAAACTAAAAAAAAAAAAGCCAGAAACAAAAGAAAATATGAATGGATTCAGATCTTTTCTTTTAAAGACAAATGCAAGGTTAGAACTATTTTAAGTATAAGACAAATGACATCATGCTTACTGACAGGTCAGTTGAAAAAGCAAAACACAGTTACTCACATCTCCCTCCCCCCCTTCCCCCAGCCCCAGTCAAGGTTGCTTAGGGGAGAAGGATTAAGATGGTAATGGGTACTGGTGCTCAGATACTTAAATTAATGGGAGAAGATGACACAGGAGAGGCCACTGCTCAGCTTGGATGGAATGTCCAGCACCAGGCATTTAATAAATAATCTTTCCCTCTCTCCTTCCTTTGTTTCCTCCTTCTTTCCTGTGGAAGTTGTACAATTGTGACTCTGCTATGGAGTTCTCAGAAGAACAATGTTAACAAAATCTTGGCCTATAAATAGAGTAAGAACAACTTGGATTTCAAAGTCCAAACTGAATAAACTGGTCCTGAAGATTCAAATATTTAAACCTTCTACATAGAAGATAAACTCATAGAATATGAAATTATATGAGTATTATTATGAAAACCTGCTTTGATGTATGTACAAGACTCCTCCAACAAAAGCTTTATTTTGCATCACGTTTTGGCTTTGCATGGGATTAAAAACAAGAGGGAAGTGGCAGAGTAAGAACAGCAAATAATATTATGCATCATACAGAGATGAGGGAAGTGTACGTGACAATAAGTCACAATGAACATATGTTTTGCCAAGTGCACATTGATGATAGGTTGCAATTATGACTTGAACACCGGTCTTCTGATTCCAAGCCTACTATTTACATGCCTTCACCCTTAGCCTTTCTTGATTCTTCATATTTAATGGACTTTCATAATGAATTATAATGGGTAGAGAAGCAGAAACATTTTTTTACACACAAGATGCTATGAAATATTAAAATCTTACTTGAGTGCCTGTTAAAACCTTCTGTTCCATAGAAAGGATAGAAACTTCAAACACTAAGGCAGTTTTTAAAAGAAGTCATTCTAATCATTCATCTCAATACCTGGCTCATACCAAGACTTGTAATACTGATGTACTATATGCAGGTAGAACATCTGACATTTGCCACGCCCATATATGGTGAAAAGTAAATATTTACTGAATGAATACATGTAGATTGAACCAGTATTTCTGGATAGGAGGAACAAAAAACAAAACAAAACAAAACAAAACAACAACCTAAAGAAGAAACTACCTCACCCCAGTCTGAGTATGGAAAAGAGGATGTGTGGCCTAAATATGTTATTGGTAGCACTGCCCTCCACATAATTGTTTCTCTGCCCTTTGCCTTTTACTCTGCTGCAGTTGTTGTTTGCTGGGGTCACAAAGCTAGCCAGTGTCTGAGGCCAGATTTGAACTCAGGAAGATAAGTGTTGCTGACTCCATCTGCTGTGCCCCCTAGGAGCCCTTGTCTTTTACTCCAACTACAGAAAAGAAACAGGAGCTTTTCAGAGCTATGAGTTTTTTAAAAGCAAACTAATGTCTTTCCTCTGCGAAACAGCGAAACCAGAATGAAATTCCCATTCATGGTTAAATTACATTAAGACATAGATAGTTGCTGAGAAATAATCTGAAATGAGGGAGGTGGGGATGGTTGGTGCCAAACTAGTTCTGAAAGCACAAGGTCCTGGATTGTTTGGGTACCAAAATATGTTAAAACTTAGGGCTGCATATAAAATATCATAGTTAGAGTGAGTTGACAGTAGTTAAGTGGGTACTTAGCAAGATATTAGTCTGCACTTCATTGTTTATTTCTTTAAGAGATTTAGCCTAAAATTACCTGAGCAGCTAGGTGGCACAGTGAATAGAGCACTGGGCTGGGAGTCAGGAAGACTCATCTTCCTGAGTTGAAATCTGGCCTCTGACACTTACTAGCGGTGTTCCTTTGGGAAAGTCACTTAACCCTGCTTGCCTCAGTTTCCTCATCTCCTGGAGAAGCAAATGACAAACCACTCCAGTATGCTTGCCAAGAAACCCCAAATGGGCCCACGAAGAGTCAGACATGACGGAAACAACTGAACATTAACAACAACAACAAAAAAATCTGCTTTAAAAACTGGACACAAAGTGGAGGGCCTTCAACTGGGGATATAATTATGATGTATAAAACTAATGGAATATTATGGCAACATCAAAAGAAAGAGGAATTCAGAAAAATGTAGAAAAATGTAGTTAAACTGATACAGTACAAAGTAAGAAGATACAAGAGACTGACATACAAAATGACCATAATAAAGGAAAACAATAAAAGAAGATATTAGAATTCACACTGAGGCAAATACTAATCTTGATCCTAAAGGACTGATGATGAAACACACCTACATCCTCCCCTCAGAAGAGAAATGATGAGGCATTCCCTGGTCAACATGCCAGTGTGTTTTCTTAAATTTCTTTGTTACAATGTATATTCTAAGGTTGTGGCATGTTATTAGGAAGAAAGAATAATGTAGAAGAACAACAATATACAAAAAACAGAATCAATGAAACATTAAAAAGCATTAAAAGTATCTTTTTTAATGGTTTGTTATCTGGCTATTTTGGTAACATGGTAAGTTTTTGATCTAGAAAAATAGAAAATGTGAAAAAAGGTACTAATTTTAGACAAACTGCTTATTATCAAATAGCTGTAGCAGAATACTATCACCACTTTGTGGCAACATATTCAAATTGCAGGCGGTTTTGTTAAGCAGTGAACTGATCCGATTTGGAAGATTAAATGGTGACATGAAAATTATGAAGTGGCTGTAAATGTCACAGTACTTGAGTAACCTTTCCAACAAACTTGCTCATACTTTTTCAATAACAGAATCAATAAAAAAGTAAGACAAAGAAATTCTCAGTGTGAATGACAGTCTACTAAGGGAAATCATTAAGCATCACAGACCTCATTTAAGGTACCCTTGCTCTAAAAGGTTAGCAGAGAACTGCAATTTTCATGGCTTTATATGGTTGATTCTTAGGTCTAAGTCTAAGAAAAAAATTTTTTTTAAATCTATTTCCACAGTTAAGGAAACAATCAGGTCAGTTCACACTTCAAAATATATATATTTTATTAACACTAACAAGCCACATTGTTCCAGCCCATATGGCAATGATTATAACAAAAGTTAATTCCATTTGGGAAACAAAATTTTTCTGAGTACTGCCAAATGAATAATGTTAGTTTATCAATTTGTTTTTTGGGGATCCTCAATTTGAAAACAAAACACTAAGTTAATTCTTCTAAAAAAGCCGTTTTAAAAAATAGCGGAGTATGACAAATCACACAGGCTATCTATAAAAACAACAGAACCATTCCTTAACACAATGGAAAATTTAGCACTTGTGAGCATCTACAACTTGGAAAAACTGCGAGTTACTCCAAATCCTGTAATTATCCTAGTATTTTGCAAATGGTTAATAAGAGACTTAGAAATTCAAAAGAACTGGTTTTGCCACAAATTAGTAGTGCAAACCATGAACATTTCACTTAATCTCATTTGTCCAGTGAGGAGGTCAGACTAGATCTGGAAGGTCCCTTCCAGCTCTAAAAACCTATGATTCTATTTCTTGCCTTCTTTCCATTTTATTTTTCAGTTTCTTCTGTTTCACAAAGCAGATGCTTAAATTTTTCTGAAAGTTAGCTAGAGGCAAGCAAAGTGTGCATGTTTGATAGCTATCCTGTCAGATAAGAGATAAATTTTTGCTCTAAGTTAAAGACTTGGATTTGACTTTTCCTCTTACCTGAAGGAGGAAGAAAAAGCTCATGTCCTGAGGATGGCCGGCTCCCAGAGCCAGGAGGTTTTGTATGTTCGATGAGACTATGTCTGGCAGGAGGTGGGGGTGGTGGAAGGGAGGGGGGAAGGACATCAAAAGCATCATCACCTGTATTCAGAGAAAAGTCAGTATCATAAGCCCAACTTTATTAAAAAAAAACCATGGTATCAAGCAAAAGTTACAATTGATTTTCTCTTCCTGTTTACAGTCTCTCATTTCCAAGATCTATCTATCAATTCACAGATTCTGATAATGGAATCTTTAAGTCTGACTGCTTGTCGAGGAACTGTGTGTGCATGTGTGTGTGCAAAACTCACACAAAGTAACTGACCTTTAAGTCCAATATGTTCTTTTCATTTCTCAGATGAATTTTTGCAGTTTATGCAAATTTTTCAGCTTGTACAACTTGCACCATATGGCTACAAATTTTAAAATATAAATAAACAAAATCGAACAAACTTATTACAGCTAAAATCCCTCTATAGTAAAAGTCTAAGTCACAAAAATGGCTCTCCCCCACACTCCCTATTTACTGCTGCCACTGATGATGCCCTTGTGTAGCTGTTCAATATAACAAAAGAATGTCAACCAACCCTTTGAGCCAATTTAACAGGATTCAATCTTTATTGGCTAATTGCTTTATTTTACTCAAATTACAGCCAGAACACTTCAGAAGATGTATCCTAAAGTAGGGACACATGTTACTGACATGGTAAGTTTCTTAACAAAAGAGTAATTAAGTTTTAGAGTCATCCTTTTTTGTGTAGCTCCAGGAGTCATAATAACTGATACTCACATACTGTAAAAACAAACTGCAAATTTATCTAGTCACTAATTTTATTTTAAAAAAACCCCATAAACACATTTTTAAAGAAAAAAATAATGTTCTTGTGTGTCTTCATCTAGGCAAACTAGTAAAAATATTAGTTACATCTATGTGTATAGATGTAACTCTATAAAAACATAAATGCACACATGTACTTTATCATACTTTTATAAAAAATAACAGATACAAACCTTTATAAGTGGTCTTGTTTTCATATAGATATACAAAATCATATACAGATATGTCTGTTTAACTTTCTATTATAGCTAAATTTATAAATACAGATGTCCTACACCAAACCCTGTTCCAATACTTAATCTTAACATGGAGATGACCCAGTGAGCAAATTTTGATAGGCTAGAAAGAGTAGGAAAGACTTTCCCGGATGGATGTATTGTCATCAGAGTACTGAACGTTGGTCATCTAGGGACCAGTTTAGAGGCGTTTGAAATGGTTCATTCCCAGAGAGGTGGCCAGTTGCTGATGATTTCTGTTTCATCAAAATAACATATCAATACTGTCTTGTAATGAACAGAAGATGACAATCTATATTGATGGAGGAAGGACTCACACTAATGAAATACTGAATCCCTTCGTTGTTGAGGTAATACATATCCATATATATATATATATATATATATATATATATATGCGTGTGTGTGAATTTATAATGAAAGTTTGATAAAACTATCAACCTGATAACATTTTATAGGACTGTATTGTGACACCACGTTAGTGTAACAATCTCTTTGTACATCTATAGATGGGCTTCAACAGAATTTTGAATTATACCAAATTTCAAGCTGTGACAACTTGTGGGGCCCCAGTGAATAGAGATGCTTTATTTTTCAGCTCTTTTCACTGCAAAATTGGAGTTTCATTTCCATCATTCATAAATGCTGTTCAATATGACAGTAAACACACATCTACATTTATAAATATAAATATGTCTGTCTAGATACACATCTCTGATACACAGGAAAGACTTTCAAAGGTTTTCAGTTCTGCTTCTTTTTGAAGCAGTAAATGGCTACAGAACAACAAAAAAAGAGTCAAATAGAAAGGGAACAGATGATCTAGTTACTTTCTCTTTTTGCCGCAGGTGTACCTCACAGAAGCACAGACCTATCATAGAGGTTGAGTCCAATCACCTCATTTTACTGCTAAGGAAACTGACATCCAAAGAGGTTAAGTGACATGTATGTTGTCATGTATCTAGTAAAGGTCTAACGCAGAATTCCAACCCAGGTCTTCCTGACTCTTACATCCTGTTCTCTATTCACTATTCCATAGTACTTCTTAGTGAATACCATCTTGAACCACCCCTTCAGGACTGTTTCTGCTTGAAATCCCCCTGCCAATGTCGACTGATTCTCAGATCTATTCCTTTAATACTCTAATGCACATAACTTTGTTTTTTCAACTTCCTTCCTTTGACTTCTGTACTTGTCATTGCGGGCAAGCTGGCCTTTTAGCTCATTTGCCAGGGAAGTAGCAACAGCAGCAGCAGATGCAAAGATTCAAAATTCCCCTTAGTGAAAGTTAAAAAAGATAAAATATATGTATGTATGTATGTATATATGAAAATGGTTCCTTGAAAATTCTATAGCACTGATGTTGATACAAGGAAGAGCCTCAAGTTAAGAGACAGCTGCATCCTCTCCTTACAGAGAGCTTTCAAAAGGGCTCAAAATGACCTCCCAAGTGTTAAATCATTTGTCCTGTCAACAACTCTGTGTTAGGTGGTGGGAAGGATTATTATTCCTCTTTCACAGACTCAGACACCAAGGGAATAAGTAACTGGCCTACCATCACAGGGTAAGTGACAAACCAGGAATAAAGGAAAGCAGGAAACAAGTATTTAAGTACTGCTATGTGCCAGCACCAAGAGGGGAGGGGACCTACTATGTACTAGGTACTGTGCTACGTGCTTCACAAATATCACCTCATTTGATTGTCACAACCCTGGGAGGTAGGTACTATTATTATCTCCATTTTACATTTGAGGAGACTGGGTCTGACACAGCTTAAGTGATTCACCCAGGTTCCCAGAGCTGGTAGGTGTCTGAGGCCAGATTTGAATCTGGATATTCCTAACTCCAAGCCTAGCTTTATATTTACTATGATACTTAGCTGCCTAGAGTGCTAGGCTTCATTACGTTTTTAGATATATGTGCAACATTAGATTCTATTCTGAAACTAGAGATGTGAAGTTTATGTATTTTACATAGATATACTAATCATTAAGGTAATAGGGAAATAAATCACAGAGCCAATATGGTGTGTAATGGATAGAGAACTGGGTTCTGGATCTGGGAAGACCTGAATTCAAGTCTCACATGTGACACATACTGCTTATGTATGTGTCATCAGCTCACTTAATCTCTCAGTGCTCTAGGTGACTCTCTTAAGATTTTCAGTTGCCCAGAAAGTGCCAACCTGCACTAGCAGAATGAGTTTCCTTGCTGGGACCTGCCTAGATCAATGAAATCACAGGTCTAGTCCATTTTCCTCTCCACACAGATATAAGCCATTTGACTTTTATAAAAATTCTTCACAATTAAGCAAACAATTTCTCACTCAACTAAACATCAGCTGCACATTCATTAACGTCTGATTAGTTTTAAAATATCATAGCTATTTACATTATACCATTAAGGAAACAATTGTAACAAAACCCTTATGAATTATGTTTTATATATATGTATTTTGCACAGGGTACAAAAAATATAAATATTATATTAATTATGTTATATTTAAAGATATATTTCTCATATTATATGACATGAGAAATATGAAATTTCCCATGACCCCCTGAGAAATTAGTATTTATTTCTCCCCTGCCTAATGGCTGTCTGTCTAAACATACAGTATTATTCATCAGTAGCCATGGCCATGTGAGCCTGAGAATCACCATCACCTATAAATCCTATCAACCTTCCACAGAAAGGAGAGGGATTAGTAACATTCTAGGTTTTTGTATGTCTAACTTGAAACACTAAAAAGATGCAATGTGTTTAAAATTTTGTTTTGTTTGTTTTATAAAAAAGTCTTCAACCTAATGGTGGGATGAGAAGATCATAATCAGAGGGCGTCCTGTTGAGCGAAGAATCAAATTTTGGATTGTCCCGGGATGGAGGTCTGGCAGGTGGCAATGGCACTGGAACAATAGCTGAATCAAAAACATCTCCTAGAGGATAACACAAAATCTTAGTGTGTTTTTAGTACAATAAATTGACACAATTTTGCCTTTCAATGCTAACATTAAGATGCTAAATATAGACAGGAAATTTTCATGTACCCACCCTTTATATATATACCTAATTCAGGGGAGCTGGATTTCTTCAGCTCTGATAAGGTACCATGTATTCCATTCATTATACATTGACCATTCTCACATGACCTGGGGGGAGAGGAAAAAAAAAAGAGACATGACTTATTTTACTATAATAAAATCCAATTTTAAATTTATTTAAGGTGAGGAGGACAAAAGAAGGAGCAACCCCAGTATAACATTCTATAACAAAATCTGAAAGATTAATTAACTCTTTCCCTATGAAAAGAAAAAGGAAATATATCTGAAGATGCTTTACATGTCCTAAAAATCAAAGGTAAAGGGCAGCTAGGTGGTGCAGTGGATAGAGCACTGGCCCTGGAGTTAGGAAGACCTGAGTTCAAATCTGGCCTCTGACACATAATACTTTACTAGCTGTGTGACTCTTGGCAAGTCACAACCCCAACTGCCTCACCAAAAAAAAAAAAAAATCAAATGTAAAAAGTCATGAAAAGAAAGGGGAATTTTAAGAGCTAGTGGTACTCCTTAACTGAAAGTAAAGGTTGCAATGGCTATGGAACAGAACTTAGCCAATAATAATTATCAGTGAATCATACAACTCTCTAGAAACCTTCTATATTTGTTAAGCATTAAAAAAGAACAGAGAGACAATTTGTATCCTAACCCGACAATTTGAAGGTTAACAGCTTTATTCTTGATTGATGGAGGAGAAAAAAAAGGAGCCTGGCACCCTGTAGGAGGTTAATAAATGCTTACTGATTATCACATACATTTTGGGTTTTTTTTAACCTTACAATGTAAACCTTTTTTTCAAAATGAAAAGAAACTAGTTTCCATTACAAATTCAAAGTATCAAACAATTTTAGTCACAGAACTAGCAAATGAAATGAGACAAAGTAGAAAGTAGTAAGTATATTACACAAGGGATTCAATTCAATAAACACTTATAAATGCCTACTTACTATACACCAGGATGTGCTAGGTGCTGGGAATAAAAAAGCCAATATGAAAATAATTCAGTCCCTGTTCTCAAAGTGCTTAAATGCTGTGGCAAAGAAACAATATTTACACTGATAAGTAAATTCAAAGTAAAGGTGGAGGGATAAGTACTAACGATTCATTTGTAGGATTTGGCTGGATCTTGAAGAGAGGTAGGGATACTGAGAGGCAAAGATGAAGAAGAAATCAAGCACTGGGGACAGCCTGTTTGAAGTCATGGAGGTGGCAGATGGATTGTTGTGCATGTCAAGTAGGTCTGTTTGGTTATATGTAGGGCACATGATGTGGAGTGATGGGAAATAAGTCTGGAAAGATAGGTTGGAGCCAGGACTTCAGATATCAAAGAGAATTTATACTTTATGCTACAAGTGATGGGGAACCCCTAAGCTTCTTCAGCAGGTGAATGACCTGGACAGCTCTGTGAAGGATGGATGGTTGAGGGGAGAGGACTCAGGAAGATCACTTAGGAGGCTATCATAGTTCCCCAGGAGAGCACATTTGGTGTGAGATAAAAGGAGATAAATAGGAGAGATGTTGTAGAGGCAAATTGACAAGATTTGGCAAATGACTGGATATGGCAGGAGAAAAAAATACCAGGGTGTGGGCTGTGCTTGAGAAACTAAGGTCCAAGTAGTATAAAATTTGTCCAAGGCTACATAGGTAATAGGTAGTTGAGTCAAAATTTTAATGTAGGTTTCCAAGATCCAATTCAAATGCTCTTTTCCATTAAATCAGATTACTTAGGAGGTATTCAAAAAATAAAATTCTTAACTTTTAAGATTTATAAGCAGATCTTCAAGAAAGAATCAAGTAGACTTTTAAAAAAATGTCAGGTCTCCTAATAAGGTCAGATCCTAAGTAATGGTTACTCTTCTGCTGCCTATGTTAATTAATACCAACAAGACAAATATGAGAATACAAATGGTAAAAATAGGGAAGGGTACTGAAAGCACCTTATGAAAGTGAGGTTGAATAAATGTAATGTAATGTTCTGTCTCCAGGTTCAGTTTTACTTTTTCTTTTCATGAGGTACTAGTTATATGTATATGTAAAGGTTCAACCACTTTAAAACAAATATGATTAGCAGAAGTGGATCCTAATGAAAATATCTCTATATTTAAAGCACTGACTTATTCCAAATAATATTTGATACAATATGAGAATTTCATAAATGTCTCTTGAATTTTCTTACAAATAGGCTTGGAACAGGATCTGGACCCTGTGTATCATAGCCTATTACAGTGTGGCTTTAGTAAATGTGAGGCACTCATAACATATTTTAAGGGGGCTCTAAATTACTTCTAGATAGTACTGTCAAAATGAATGAACTATACAACACTACATGCTAATCTTTATGAATATTACATACTGATATCAATGTCCCTTGCCCTTCTGGTAGAACTGAGGAACAATGAATTGTGGGGGTTGTCACTTTCACAAAATCTACAGAAGATGTCACAAATTCTCTTTAAGGCAAACTGAGCTGATCCTTAGAACAAACATGAACCAAAATATATTCAAACAAAGGTGAAAATTTCAATAATTAGAACAAAATAAGTCCTCTGGCATAAATGTATTCAGTTGACTCTAGCAGTTCATTCTCTTTAGGAGGTAAGAAAATAGTTTATTTTAAATTAATCAATCACTAATTTTAACAGGTGCTGAATTTTCATAATGATGCACTTTTTGTGAAGTACAATTGCATTATTCAGCTAATATTTCCTTTCTCTACATACTGACAAATCACTCTTCTTTTGATGCTTACTACCTGTATGACCTTGGACAAATCACTTAGCACCTGATCATCAGCTTCCTCTTCTGTTTAAAAAAGTGGGGAGGGAGGTAATGGGGGAAGGGAGGACTGGACTAAAGGACCTCTTTGATTCCTTCCAGCTCACAGATGGGAAAAGAATTCTGACATGAAGGCAAGTTTGTGTTTTATGTATATAAGAAAAGTCTTCCTTCTCAAGTTTGAAAGTGTGAAGTGACCAATGGATATTTATAACATCTAAACTCTGGCAGAATCACATTATTATTCAATTGATAAATATTTATTAAGTGTCTACAATGTGCCAGGCACTGAGCTAAATGCTGGGAATATAAAACAAGGCAAAAGACACACAGAGCCTGCCCTCTAGGGGCAGGGGTTCACAATAGTTTCTTTAATGCCCAATAGTAAAAAAAAAAAAAAGGATAATAATGGTCACAATTCAAATTAATATTTAGGATCTGTAAAACCTACCAATAAAGAAAAAGAAAACTTACTTAAAGTATAAAAATATACCATCGTTTCCAGCTGTGGAACAACGGAGAATCCTAGGATCACAAATTTAGAGCTGGAAGGATCCCAGGATCATCTGATCCAAACCCTTCATTTAACAGATGAGGAAACTGAGGTCAGGAGAGGTGAAGTGATTTGCCCAAGGTCCTCCTTTTCTAGACACAAGGAACTACCAAAAGAGGACAGTGCCCAAATGTACTACAATTTTTTAAGAGCCAAAGGAATGTAAATTAACAGCAATCTCTAAATCATTTTGAGACTTACTTTTGACTTTTTTTTTAATTACAAAAATTCTTCTCCTTCACAAAGCCACTAAATGTTTTGTCAGTAAAGGTCCTAAACAAAAACAAATGAGCATCGCAGACTTCAGTTCTATCCTTGCAACAGAATGTTTCAGGCCACTAGGCTGTTAATAATTCTGTCTTCAGAAGTTGCATTAACTTCTGTCCTCAAGAAAAGGGCTCGTTCGTCTTGAAGCCCCTCTTTTTTTCTTCTCTTATTCTATAAAAATGGCAATAAAACTTTGTACAATTTGAGAATGAGGTTATCACTTTACTCTGTTAAACTTCTGCATTCATTTGGCTAGGTTTTAAAAGTGAATGGCAATGGCAGACTGCTGAGAAGCATCAGAGAGGTAAATCAACTGTCTATATGAAAAAAAAAAACGATCCTTTATACACTTAGGCAGATAAAACTAGATGGAACTGAAGAATACAGCTAGGTTGAAGCTTATTAGTGAATTTACTTTCTGAATTGAATTTCTTCTTCCAACCTGAAGATACTAAAGTGTCAGTGAATCCTTATCTAAACTCTTCATATTCTCAATGACTTCTGAACTCTAAAGGTAGCTGCCAGTCCAAAACCTAAGGATAACATAATTTCAGTAGGAATAAAGAAAAAAAAATTGAATCATAATGTCAGTATCTGATCTCTGTAAGCCTGATGAAATTTTAGCTAATGCAAACTTAAGGGATGTAGGGATAGTAATCCAGTACTGTGAACAGCAAAGGGAGACTCTTTTTAGATGATTTAAGTTTCATTTATTCAAAATCTGAATAAAGGCAGCTATGTTCATAAGTGAAAAGATATGAATGTAAAAATTCTCCAATATATAATACGGATAATGTTAAGGCACATTTGCATAATGACTTTCTTTATAACCATTTCAAAGTTTCTATAGATACTCATTCTTCTTGCAGAGGAAGGTATGCAGAACATATCCCAAGCGCTGAAATAGTTTACTGAAATTGCACGTATTCTACATGAGCAGAATCATATTAAAGTATGAGCTATTTTTTTCATGGAACAAAATGTTCCATTATACCCACCAGTTAACTAATTTAGTGTAATGACTTCCTGATTAATGAGAAGTTCCATCTTTTAGTTCACTCTGGAATAAGGGTACAAAATAGGAAGCATAAGGAAGGATACAAATTAGCCCAAGAATTCAACTGTTTCTAATTAAATGCAAATGATTAAACCCCATAAAATCAGGAACAAAAGAAGTAACATCTACAAAGACCTAAGTTGATAAACATTGCATATATTCTTACCGTACAGAAGGCTTTATGCTATGACAATGAGGTGGTTGTGAGCTCAGGGATACAGGATGGGATGAAGGAATCTTGTAGTCTTCATCCTCTTCCTCTACGTTTTCTTTTATTTTTTCTGCCAGGCTATTTGTTAAAGGAATAGGACACCTATTAAAAACAAAAATTCTGGTTTAGAATTTGTTTGACTTTTCAGCAAGTTTGATGTGATATTTGCAAATCACATAGACTACTCTGTCAGTCATTCAACTTTCAATTACAGGATAACATCAGAGGAGCTGCTTCTTAAAATTAATATAAATGAATCAGATTTTTCATTCTTTTGGCCAAGACTCAATAGAGGGGAAAAAAGCATCTTTATGTTTATAATTTTAAATGAAAGAATAAGGAGAACTAGGTGCTGTCAAATCAAACAAAAAAAAAATCTTGCTGTTATCAGAAAAGATGCATAAATTTTCCAAAGCAACTTCAATAAAATATTCAGTAACAAGTTAATTTTTTAACTTGAAATAGGTAAATAAAATAACAAAAAATAGGCAAATTTTCAACTTGATTTTTAAAAGAAGTCTTCATGAAAGAGGCAATGTCTCAGGATAATTGGTACTTTCCATAGTTAGGGAATGGTCAGTTTGGTTTAAGGATATCTTATTTTATTTTCTATGAATTTATAATTATGAAGTAATTTTTTTAGATAAGCACAAAACATGAACTAAACCTATTTAGAATAGCAGAGAAAAGGAGATCTTTACTTGAGGTCCTCATTTCCATTATCTGATAAAGTACAATAGATAATTGCTTAAATATTCAATTTATTTGGCTAAAAGAAATGAATAGAAGTTAATAAAATAACTGAAACATAACCAGAACATAAAATGATCAAATGAAACATAGGAAAATAAACTTAAAATGAAGAATATGTTTCTACTTTTATATTCTAGAAAGTCTGCAATTTTCAACCACCCTTCTGTAGAGGGAGCAAGAGGTCTTCTCTAAATATGGCAGTTTATATACTAAAATAACTTCCCCTCTCCTTTGATATCATGTTAATAAGTAATAAAAAGTTAAGCAAAATTACTGAGCTATAGATTGGAGACAGATTTTGTACTTAAGAGTATTTTGAGCTAGAACTGGCCTCAGATATGATGTAATCCAACATCTGTCATCTTACAGGTATCTTTTTTAAGAAGGGATTTGAAAAAATTTGGAAGACTAGATCCATATGCTTTAATTCATAAAGTTTAAGTCCACATAACTAAAGGAAATAGTTCTGATAAGATCTGTAAAGGCATATTCTTAGTACCCCCTGAAGACTTTTAATAACAGTTTTAAAAACAACTGGCTGTAAACTCTTCATTCCTTACATAACGCTCATAATCAACTTAGAAAATGTCTACACTGATACATGAAGGCAAATCCAAGTTTGTCACCAAAAACATGGTTGGAGGATTTAATAAATTCCATAATGACATATGGGCACCTATTAAAAGTTTCGTTTCTTAGTAAGGGCAGGTGAGCAAATGCTCAGCTGAGGAAAAACACCTCGAAGTGGAGAAAGCAGGAATGAGAGGAAGATATATAGAAAGGCCCTTTCTTAAAGGAATGTTTCCATATAGACACTTTTACCTAGCTGACCCCCAAACCACACCAATGGGATCCAGTAACTTAGCTTGTGGCTCTGCTTTCTTTGGGGCTGGGAGGTACTCTTCCCTTTATAACCTCAGTGGAGAATATAATCTTACCCCAATAATTATCATCTTCTAATCATATAGAATTACTATATAAATACTTCATAGTTTATAAAAAGAAAACTACTTTTCAACCAAATACACACTGTACTAGCATGTTAAAACTCAGAAAAGTAGTAAGGTAGGCATATTATATAAAGACAGTTTACTTTCAAAGTTGTCAGTTTATTTCCCTAAGGGCAACTTTATCCTTAGAAGTACACTTCTGACATCATATATTGCTCTTCAGTAAGAATTCTCTTTTGATGAGGAAGAATACCAATTCACGGGACAGCTAGGTGGCGCAATGGATAGAGCACCAGCGAAGTCAGGAAGACCTGAGTTCAAATCCGATCAAACACTTGACACTTACTAGCTGTGTGACCCTGGGCAAATCACTTAACCTCAATTGCCTTAAGAAAAAAAAAAAGAATATCAATTTAGATGTCTAAGGTCTGAAACCAGATGAATGTGTCAATTTTCCTTTGAGTTGCATTAAAAATCAATAGATAAAGTATTTTTGAAGGAAATTCAAAAGCTTTTTCTCAATTATCACTCAACTTGACCTCTTTGCTCCATTTTGTTATTGACCTAGATCCCCCTTTTATGCTCTTTACTCCCTTGGATTCCAGAAGATTGTGTTCTCAGGTTCTGCTTTCACCTCTCTGCCTTTTACGTCTCTGTCTTCTTTCCCTCTTGATTCCCCCTCTGCCACACCCCTTTTTCTAGGTTCTGTTCTTGGCTGGCTACTCATTTTTCTCTTTACATTTTCTATCTTGGCAATGTCATTTACTCCCACAACTTAACCCATCCTCTAGTCTATGAAGAGGATTACTAAATCAATTCATATATACAATCATCATCTTTCTCCTGAGCTTCAGATTACACTTATAACTTTTTTTTAGGATATTTCCACCTGGATATCTTTCCTGGTTTGCCTTCAGCTCAACATGTTCAAAACAAATCCTTTTCCCTACAAATTTTGCTTTCTGTCTTGACTTTCCTGTTTCTTGTTATCAGCATTAACAATCTTGCCAGGTTCCCTCTTGTTCTTACACATCCAGTCACCAAGTCCAACTCTTTCTGTCTCTGTGATATTTCTTTCATCTTCCACTTGCTCTAGACATACTGCTACAGCCCTTGTACAGTATTTTGAATCTACTGCAATAGGTCTCCCCGGCTCCAATGTCTCTTTCCCTAACCCCAAGTCACCCTACGCACAGATTAATCCTACTTTCCCTATTGTTTCTACCAATCATTTACAAGCCAAGTTGACTACTACAATTGAGAAGCTTTGCCTGAACTGGTAAAGCTCATTTCACAAAGCCAGGCACAGCTTTCTCTTCCTATACAGTTATCGTATATTGTTTTCTTTCCCCCTCACAAATGTCAGGTCTCTCCAATAGTCCAGAAGCTCTATATAGGAATGTGTTATATTTTATTTAAACTCTGAACCTTTCCCATACCTCTAAATATAGTAGGCCCACTGTAAATGACTGCCACATTAATCTTTTTGAGCCTAGCTCTGGTCATGTCATGCGTACCCTTACCCAAAAATCCTTCAATGACCTTCCATTACTTAACAAATTAAGTCCACATTCTTTGGGATTGGCATTTTTTGATCCGATTTCAATGTACTTTGCAATCTAATATTTCTTTACAACCCTTTCATACATTTTATCCTCCAGTCAATTTAGACTGCTTCTCTTTCCCTAAACATGCTCTATGATTTCCTGTTCGCTTTCTTCCTTCCACTGATCCTTCTTCAATTCCATTTACCCATATCACACCTATCCCTTCAAGACCCAGACAAAAATGCCATCTCTTTTGACAATATACCTGATACCTTCAATTAGGAATAATCAAATCTTAAAAAATAAAATCACATCATATTGTAGTTTTCTTATTACACACACACACACACACACACACACACACACACACACACACACACAGGACTCTAAGGACTATGAAAGTAGGTAATGTTTCTTCTTACTTATTGGAGAACTGTGTTCATATACAGGCTTTTTAAAAAACACCTTGTAGTTACGTGACAATGAACAACTCACTTAAGCTTCCTAAGCCCCAACTTTCTCATCTGTAAAACTGGGATATTAATATTTGCAGGGCTATTATTAGAAAAGTACTTCATAAACCTTAAATCACTATATAAATGTGAATTGCTACTACCCCCATAGTACCTAACATACCATTCTGGACACAGTAGGTGGTTGATGAATGTTTGGTAAAGGAATGAAAGGATGAAAAGCAAAGTTCACCTTTCACTTTACAGGACTATAAGATTCTAAAATACATCATTTCAAAGTAATTCCAAAGAACTAGATTCATAAGTTAAAGATGATAGTTCTTCAAATGTCATTTGTAAAATATGACAGAAAAAGTTGAGACTCTCAGTCATAGATATTTAATGAGGATTATGCTAACAAGATTTATTTTTTCTTACAGTATCATATTTCAAATGTGAACTCCTCATAGGGAAATATTATAGATATATGTAAGATATTACTTAGAAGACTAAATCATTTTAAAATGGCATAATGTGTTCAATAATGTCAATGTAGGAGTTCTGACTTAATAGACTATATTAATAAAGAATATTTCTCATTCAATATACAAATAATTCTAAAAAATAAATCTCATGGGGTCAGGAGGAGGTTAGTTGATGCAATGAAATGAATAAACCAGGACTGACATCAATTTTTCAAGAGCTATAAATCATAACACTTTTACATTCACTATCAAAACAGCTTCAAGTTGTTATAAATGACTTCATTTTTTTTGTCCTGAAAATTTCACACAGAAACACATTTTTCTCTCTCTCTCAAAATCACTTCATTCCTGACATACAATTCTGGTCTTAAATATAACTTGTGGTAAAAGAAATAATTAAATTTAGAGTTATTCATCATTTATTCATGTGTTTACCTGTTTTTAGTAGTGGATATTAAATGCTAATTTTTTCCATAGGCAAATTTTCAACCACTAATTTTGTTTTTGAAAAGCTGCTCAGTCAGCAGGTTAGCAAAGTAGAATTAATGAGATTTGGCTGGTTCCTAGTTAAAGCTGGCCAAGAACCCATCCTGCAATTTTAAGCCAGCATTTGATATTCTTTTCATAGTCTTCAAACATTTATTAAGTGTTTAAAGGATACAAGCATCGTGAAAAACATCATGGAGATTTTGTGTTGAGATACAAAACTAAGAAATGCCCTTCCAACTATGTTGTGACTGGATATGAACCACAAATGAGAAAGAATAAATTTGTGCCATTTTAACCTGAACACATACACAAAAAACAGGTAGACTTCAGGGAGAAAAAAAGTTGTTTTTTCTTTTGGTATTATGACTTCATAAGTTCAATCCTCAAAATGTATTTAGCTACTGAATATTTTACCTTCCTAATGTT